TTGTGGTGGCGCACGCTGGTAGGATTTGCTGAAGGAGGCAGAGGCAGGAGGATCACAACTTCGAGGCCAGCCTGAGGCCAACACATTCTTGGGGGGGGGGCAGGGGAGGAGGGAAGGGAGAGGGAACTGGGATTGACATGTAAAAGAAGCTTGTTTCTAATTTTAAATGGGTCTAATTACAATTATACATATTTAAAAACGTCATCTGACTTGATACCTCTGGAATTAAGTCTGGTCTATTATATCTGGCTAGGAAACAAGAAGGGAGGTAAGACCTCACCATCGATCCTGTATGAGACATCTCCCGATTCCCCTGGTCTGTTCTGGTGTCTGAATGTGTGGTGGCCGCTGCTGTTTGTCTTAATGTGTTTCTCTCTGTATGACTGTGGCTTTCTATACAGGGAGTGTGTTTCTCTATGTGTGTTTCTGTCAGTTCTGTTGGTTGGAGAAACAGATCTGAACTGGAAGGGAGAGTGAGCCTTCCCAAGTATACAGCCACTAAAAAGGGGATTCCCCGGAAGCCAGAGGCAATAGAACCGCAGAGGATGTGGCCCTAGAACCAAAGTGTGTGAAACCAAAACAGGAACCACATTGCTGTTAGGAAGCCACACTGTTGTTCCCAGACCTTACAAGAATAAGCCTAACGCATCCTGAGAAACTGTTTTCCCACCTCTGCTGAGCTCTTGCTGTGTGGAAGAAAATGTGTCTTCCCAGATACCTGAAGACACCCCTTCCACACGATGTGTTCTTGCACTTTTCTATCCCAAAGGCAGCCTTGGGCCCTGAGTCCCCTACTCTTCTGTCCAGGGCTAACAGCCAATGATCTCAGCAGCTGTTTTTTATCCTAACCCATCCCCATAAAAAGGGGCCTCAAAAGACAGTGAGGGGCTGCTCTCTGAAACCCCGACTTAGGAGAAGGCAGTCTTCTGGCCAGTCCTGTGTGCACTTCTGAATGCAGCTTGCTTTAATCAGACAGTCATGAAAATGTTTTTGTTTTTTTTTCCCTCAGGTCTAACATGAGGCCTCTCCCCAGTCCTGCTAACCCAGTTTACTGGGCTGCAGAGAATACACCCTAGGGCAAGATCAACTGGAGAAATAAAAACTGGCCAAACAGGATAGATAACAAGGATAATAGATGCTGCCAGATGGCAGACTCATCCTTTTCTTGAGTCTGGGAAGGTGACTAAGGACAAGGGCAGATGGGCTTGGACTCAGACCTCTTAAAGGTAAAGATGAAAATGCCCAGAGTTTACTAACCTAGGAGACACACTCCCTATCAGCCCCAAACCTGGACACAGGAATTCAGAAAAACCAGACAGGGAAACTATCTTTTGAGTCCATCTCTGCTGTCTTATGTCCCTGGAAGGGACAGGGGTCAGTAGAGAAGCCTGGCTAAAAAAAAGGCCTTCAGGAATTACAATTTTATGTGTCCTCTACCAAGGACACGGTGCCTACATCACATCTTCAAATTACTGCCTTGTTTGTACTAATGGATTGCCTAAACAAACCCCCTCCATTCAATGGAAAGCCACACCCCCACTCTAGTCTGTTCTTCTCCAGGTGTATACCTATAACGGAGAAGAGAGAGGAACTCATATTGGCCTTGGATAAATGTTAATAAAGGTCACACGGACCCCCAGTTCCAGTTCTGATTCTAGCAGGGGCGGGAATGGCCAGTAAAACTGTCACAGGCACCTTAGCCTTGACTACTGGGAATCAAAACCTTGGGGAACTCAGTTCCCAGACAGACTAAAGACTTAGGTCATTTGGAGAATTCTATTTCCAGGCTGGAGAGACAAGTAAACTTCCTCACAGAGGTAGTCCTACAGAACTGAAGGAGGCTGTATCCTCTTTTTATGAAACCTGGGGGGGGGGGAGTTACAGGGACTTTGCATGGCCTTAGGAGAAATTTGTTTCCATGCCAACTGACCAGGGGTAATTAGTGAAAACCTTGCCATGGTCAGAGAAGACCTCAAAGAAAGGAAAGAGACATAAATTAGATCATTGGTATCAGTCATGGCTGACCACCTTACTGTCAACATTAGCTAGACTGTTGACTCTTACTCTGATCGGGCTAACTCGGGGACCCTGCAGCCTCAACTGCAAGGCCATCAAGAATGATCTCAGTTAAGCTACTGATCCTTAGAACCAACTGTGCCCCCTAGAACAGAACTAGTTAATGATTTTTGATTCGTGCCCATGGTAGGGGGTATGACAAGGCAAGGCAGTGCAGAGGTTCCTCTATCTTGTATTCTTGCTCAGACCATTTTGGATTTAGATAGAATTTGATCTCCTTGATGGAGAGCCCAGTGGGAAATTAACCCAACTCTATATTCTAGAAGGCCAAGATGTCCCAGCCAACTTAGCTCCTGTTAAACTGATGGCTTATGAAAACATCCCCCTGCAGTAGCAGAGCAAGATACCAGGATGTAGTTTTTGCCTTTAAAAGCCCCTTGGTCGCTGGGCAGTGGTGGCACATACCTGCCTTTCGTCCAGCACTTAGGAGGCAGAGGCAGGTGGATCTCAGCGAGTCCAAGGCCAGCCTGGTCTACAGTTCCAGGACAGACAAAACCAAGGGGATGGAGAGATGGCTCAGAGGTTAAGACCACTGACTGCTCCTCTAGAGGTCCTGAGTTCAATTCCCAGCAACCACATGGTGGCTCACAACCATCCGTAATGAAATCTGGTGCCCTCTTCTGGTGCAGATATACATGGAAGCAGAATGTTGTATACATAATAAATAAAATCTTAAAAGAAAAACAAAACCAAACAAACCAAAAAAGGCCCTTGGTCTAAATGCTCTGGGCTACACTTGGCTCCTCACTACTTGAGTGTAGTCCTAGCTGTTTGGAACGAAGTCTTTGAATTGGCTATAAACTGCGTCCGAATGGTCTTTCTGAAGGGGCCTCCAGTCACAGGCAAACTTCATTTTTTTTTTTTTCTTGAGACAGGTTTTCTCTATGTAGCTTTGGCTGCCCTGGAACCTGCTCAGTAAACCAGGTTAGCCTCAAACTCAGGAGGCACAAATCAAGACGGTACAGCTGGAAGATAGAACAGACAAAAGTGCATTTGGTTTCTATTCTAACTCAGGTGGTGACAGTGTCGTTTCAACATTGGCTGGACTCCAACCTCACAGTCTTTTTGTTTAGATTTTGCTTTTTGGAGACAGACTTTCTCTTACATTCCAGGCTGTCCAGGAACTCGCTTTGTAGACAGAGATCCACCTGCCTCTGCATCCCCAGTGCTGGGATTACAGGCGCGCGCCACCATCTCCTCCCAGCTGGACCTCAGTCTTATCAGTTAGCTAGCCTGAAAAGATTTGGCCCACGGCTTCAGGCCTTCTAATCTGTGGAATACAGCAGCGGCCCTTGGAGAAAACAGGGTTTTACTGGGTAGGAGGACTAAGACACTTGCATAAACACCTTAAAAGTTGCAAGAAATGAAAAGATTCGAAATCCCTGTACTACACACACGCTTTACCGTAGGTAAAGTCATATACGGTAGGTTTTCCTTATAATCGAGTACTGTGGCTGCAGGCAGGGCTCCACTACCAGCCTTCTCGCAGGGTAGTCAGTACTAACTGCTCTCCTTAAACAAAGAACGGTTGCGGGCGATCACCCCGGCTTCGGAAGGGGCAGGCGCGACTCCTGCACGCCCTTAGCACGGCGGGGAGCACAGCAGGCTGCAGTCGGCGACTTCTTGGGGGATGATAAGGGCGAGCGGGAAATCCAGCCCGAGACGCAAACGGGTGCAAGCGCCGCAACTCAACAAAGTCACACAACAGGCGGGCCGGGGCATCGGCAAAG